CATATCTTAAGGATAACTTTGCTGGATCGAGTATTCTTGGCTGACAGTTTTTACCTTTCAATATTTTGAATATATCATTCCACTCTCTCCTAGCATGTAGACTTTCTGCTGAGAAATTTGCTAACAGGTAGTGGAGGTTCCTTTGTAAGTTATTTTCTTCTCTCTGGCTGCCTTTAATATTCTTTCTTTGTCATTGACTTTGTATAGTTTTAAGGTGCGCCTTGGAGAAAGTCTTAAGCATTGAGATAATTAGGAGTTCCATAATCTTCACACACTTGTATATCTAGCTCCTTCCCCAGTTTTGGGAAGTTCTCAGGTATTATTTCTTTGAATAAGCTCTCTGCTCTCTGCTTCCTCTCTTCTCCTTTTGGGACACCCATTATCTTTATGTTGCTTTTTCCAACTGAGTCAGATATTTTGTGTTGAATTTCTCCATTTTTTTAAAATCTTAGTTCTTTCACCTGAATCATTTCTAGATTTCTCCCTTTGAGCTTGCTAATTCTGTCTTCCATATAGTCTGTTCTGTTTCTGGTGCTTTCTACTTTATCCCTCATCTCATTAATTGTCTTCTTCAGCTCCAGAATTTTTGTTTGTGTTTCTTTAGAGTTTTAATCTCTTTGGTGAAGTACTCCTTCTGTTCACTCATTTTATTCCTGAGGTCATTGAACTGACTTTCTGAATTTTGTTATTCATTTTCTTCATGACAGCTATTTTTAATTCTCTGGCAGTTAGATCATAATCTTCCTTGACTTCAAGTTTAGTTTCTGAAGAGTTGTCATTGTCTTTTTGTCCTACCATGTTACCGTAGTTCTTCATGGTGCTTGATGAGTTGTTCCTCTGCCAGCACATTTGTGGTAGCAAACACCTTTTTTATTTGGGTGAGGCTTTGTTTATTTTGGTTCTGAGCTGCTTCTGATGGTATTTGAGAGCCTTCACTTTCCACCCTCCACTGCCTCTGCCAGTGGCATCGTCAGTGCCCTGTTTGTGCTGCTTGTACCTTGGAGGTTGCTGGTTCCTGGCTGATTACAATGTCACTGCAGTCACAGGTGTCACCATCGGTGTCACTGAGCCACAAGCACCTCTACGGCTTCTAGGGTTGCTTAGGTCATGAGTTCCCTACTGTGGTGGGGGAGGAGGAATGGGAGGCAGGAGCCAGGGACACAGGGAATATTGAGGTTTGTTGGCTCTGTAGGAAGTGCTGCTATAGGTAGAGGGGGGCAAAGTTGTGAGTGCCTCTGCCGCTGGGGGGGACCAGGGTTGTGTCCTCTGCTGTTGCTGTAACCTGGCCTTCCATGAGCTGTCCATGGGCTTGGGTGCTGCTACCATGTGTACTGCCTGCACTGTTGCTCCCGGGTTACCTGGGGGTGCTGGCAACACCATTGCTGGGGGTATTGAGTTCATGGGTGTCCCTGCTAATCCCAGGGGCCCAAGGTCTTGTATGCAGCCCCTACTGCTGGTAATACTGCTGTTGGGGGTGCCACTGCTGGGAGCTGGGTTGTGGGCACTGCTGAAGCTCCTGAAGCCTCAGGTCTCAGTTGCCACCTGCCACTGCTGGGGAAGGGGGAAGGGCTGAACTGAAAGTGCCACCACAAAGTACACTGGCACTGCCTCCTCTCCTGGGGGTATCTGTATTTGGGATGCAGCCCCTGCTGCTGGAAGGGCCAGTGTTGGAGGCACCACCACTGAGGGAGGGGAAGACGGCTGGATCACGGGTACCACTGCATTCCCTGAAGCCTCAGGTCAGAGACACCACCTGCCACTGCTGGAGGAGGGATAAGGGCTGAACTGCCAGCACGACTGCTGCTCCTGCAGCCTCTGGTCTCTGACATATGTGCTTTTTGGAACCTCAGGTTGCAGCACTGCTGCCACTGCCAGGGTATCTCTCTTGGGTGCAGTTCCTGCTGCTGGAGGACTAGTGTTGGAGATGCCACCAACAGGGGAGGAGGAGGGAGCTGGGTCACCGGTATTGTCATGGTTCCCAGAGTCTCCCATGGTGGGCCACAGTGATTCCTGGCCCCTTGGGAGCATAGACTGCCTAGATTCCCAGGGCCTCCATTTGTGGGGGTTACCTCAGTTCCTGGGGCCTCTTAAAACAGATTTGGCCACAGATCCTGGAAGCTCTGGTCTTGGGAGCTACCACCACTGCTCCCCTGGTTCTACTGCCTCCAGGAGGTCCAGCCCACCCACCTTCAGATGTATAGATGTAGGGATCTCTCAGATGTTCTGGTGTGCTGCGCAGAGAGTCCTTTGTTGGTCTCTGGATGTCCTAGTGGTTGTAACTTAGAAGAGAGAGACAAAGGGAACAACTCACTCTGCCATGATGCTGACATCACGATCTCCACCATTTTAATACTAATATACTTATTACTTACATTTATTGAATGTTTGTTATAAAGGCAGTCCCTTGCAAATTAGGTCATTGGATCTGTCAACATTCATAATATTTTGTTAAGCCATTTCACAAAGGAGAAATGTAAGGTTCATATAGGGGAAATGTTTACCCGTCATCAGTTGTATGTCACAGGCAATGGATATTGCTTGCTGTGTGATGAGTCTGTTATTGCCTTGAAATTGATAAGGAGAGTCTAGTTATGTATCTCAAGATCAAAACTTATAATATACTATTTACATATACCAGTCTGGAAGTGAGAATTACCACTTTATTGGGAAATGTCCAGGTTATTTCACACTGCACAACATGTGATATCCCTTTATAATGAAGTTAATATGTATTAAGAGTGTGTATGTATCTTTGTAATGAAGCCTGAGCAACACATGCCAGATAATCACAGGGAAACATTTGACTGAAACTTCAAACAGGGTTTGATCTTTCTACTCCTGCAGCCTCCTTTCCCCAGCACCATGTCAACTATCCTTCCCTGGACCGTGATAGAGATGGCCCTGTCTGAACAGGAATGTCCCTAATGTTTTAGGAATCAGTGATCTTCAAGGATGCGGCTGTGGACTTTACCAGGAAGAGTGGGCCTTGCTGGACACATCCCAGAGAAAGCTGTACAGAGATGTGATGCTGGAGAATATCAGGCATCTTGTCTCTGTGGGTGAGTCTGTCAACATTGATTTATTTATTCAACAAGTACCCAGAACTGTTTCCACATATCACCCGCCCCTCTCAGCCCTCACTCATCTTTCATAGCACTGACAACTACCTGAAGGTAGTCTGTCCATTTCTTTCTTTCCTTACATGTTCTTTGTCGCTCCACTAGAATTCAGTCTTCCTGACCATAGTTTCAAGGCTTTGTTGTTGTTCTATTACCAGAACTATTTCTGGTAATTTCCAGAACTATTTCCAGAACAGTGCTGGACACTCGATGGATATTTTTTTAACGACTACACAATTTCCTAAGTAATTGTCCTTTTCTAAGCACTAAGCCCAGAGTTTGAGACAACAGTAGTAAGAATAGCAGGCAACATAAACTTAGATTGTTCTGGTGGAGGTTATATTTATTGGATTACTTTTTTAAGTAAAATTTCATATGAAGAAACATTAAATGGAAATATTTAATTCCTGCCTTATTGGAAACACCGAGGATCTTTACTCAGCATGCTTGCTCACGTGCATACATAACAGAGCGCCTCAGTGCTTTGGCCTGGTGTCAGGTGTTCTTCTTGCTCTGCTCACGGGCCTACAAAGATTTCCTCCCCGGGTGTTCCTTCAATGTTCACTGTGTTGTTCATTGATATCCTGTCTTGACTTGAAAATTATGTATGGTTCTCCATACAGACTTCAAAATTCACGTACCTTTTCCCCGTGAACAGGGTGTTAGCTCTACAAATCAGATGTACTTTCCTACTTGGAACGAGGAGAAGAGTTGTGGAGGGAAGAAAGAGGATTCCTCTGGGGCCTGAGGCTGCGTAAGCTCCAGGCATGTGTGTTCACTATGAGGAGAGGCCTGGTCAGTGAGGGAACAGGACCTTGGTAATGCCAACTGAAGATTTCCTTAAGTCAATGATGTCTTCAGAAAAGTTTCAAAGGCCAGTGGGGAAAAAATTCTCCATGGTGTCGTTATTCTCAGCATTTATCAATGTCTCTTTATTTAGAGTTCAAGTCCTTATTGGAGTGCAAGTTTCATGTTGTGGTCTTTGCCCTCGTCTCTTCTCTTTGATGATTTCTTCTCTCATAACCTTACCAAAATCCCATCTTAACCTTCTCTTTAATTCTGTAAAGATTTTGTAATTGACAGTGGCCTACAACATGTTTCTACTCACTGGTGCATCGCTCCATTTCACATTCTTTCCCTGTGTAAGGGTTAGTATTTGAAATATATCCACATTTGCATCGCATGCTTTTCAACATTTTTGTTCCTCTAATGCTTCTCTATAAATTAATTTTTTTAATTACTTTAAGCAGAGGAAGTGACCTTAAAAACCAGGAAATGACATGTACACCAGATATCTGCAGGAAGGACCTTCTAACCACACAGTCAATGGTAAGTTTCACTGAGGTGACCCTGGTCCCCTGCATTAGAGAGCTGGGAGCGGGATGATTATTAGTACAGCACGATAACGTGACTGTAATTAGAGTTGGGAGTAAGTGCTGTCCCAGCAGGAAGTTTTGCATAGTTGAATTTAGGCAAGAAACTAACCACAGCTCAGAGCTATAACCTGAGTTCTTATAAAAGGACAATGGCATAAACATGGCTTATATACGTAGTCTTTGGAACACAATAAAGTCCACAAAATAAATCAACTATACAGTCAAGATGCTACAAAGAAGAAATCTCTGTACATGGAAGAGAGTAACGTACTGTGTGTATGTAACTTCCATGCAGACTTTTAACTGGGAACTATGAGGACTGACCAGCCTAGAATTCATATGTAGAGAAAAGAGCAAATGAACATGTATGGGCAATCTTTAAATGCCTCTCACCTCCTTGAATCAGCAGAAATCTCACACCGGAGAGGGACTCATGGAATAGAATGAGTGTAAGGATGATTTCACTCACGGATTAACGGTGACTTCACATGTGTTAACTCAAAAGGGCCCAGGAGATCCACCTCATTAAGCTGTTGGACCAATCGAGGCAACAAAGCTATGAAGAAACACCAAAGTGTCACCGGGAAAAGGCCACAGATTTTCTCAAGGACATGCAATCCAGGTAGGCAGACCAGATCCCGAGAGACAGAAAGGGATGGCCTGGAACCCCTATTTCAGGTCAAAGCGAGCCTGCTTCAGAGCCCAGGGATGTGCGGAGCAAGCTCAAGATGAAAATCTTGCCTCTAACTTGGGAGAATCTTGTAGTCCTTTGCTGCTCTGCTCTCAGACAACTCAGAAGTTTCCAGGAAGAATTTTCATCTGAAAAGGTTATGAAGGGAGGTTTAAGGCCTTTGAGTTTAAAGGTCAAGAACATGGATCATTTACCAACCTTTTTAAAATTTAAAAGAAACATGCCTTTTGTTAAAGGAAAAAAAGTCAATCGATGCAAACATGTAGAAATTTTCCCTGATTCCTGCCTGACTTTTCCTTTTTTTCTGGACATATCCATTTATATATATGGATATATACACATATATAGTGCTTTTTACATAAAGGTTGGAAAATACTATGCAAGTTGTTCTATAATGGCAGATATATTTCCACTTTTAAATGACCATTTAGAATTCATTAATATGGATGCTTCATAATGATTTAAACACTCCCCAATTGATTAGCTTTTTTTTTTTTAAGATTTTATTTTTCCTTTTTCTTCCCAAGCCCCCTGGTACATAGTTGTATATTCTTAGTTGTGGGTCCTTCTAGTTGTGGCATGTGGGATGCCACCTCAGCATGGCTTGATGAGCGGTGCCATGTCCGTGCGTTAAGATTGGTTCCAGTTTCTCAATATTAGAAACAGTTCTCTGTGAACTTCCTAGTATTTTTGTGCCTTCTCACAACTAATTCCGTAAGGAGCATCCACAGAAATGGAATCGCACTGCCAATTGATTGCGGTACTTAGATTCAGAAGTGTAATTTGAGGCAAATGAGTAAGCCCCTGAGTCTTAGTCTCCTTACCTGGGAAAGATGGAAATATCTGGGCCTCAGGGCATTGAAGGGTTTGATGGGATAATGTGGGTAAAGCTCAAGGACAGGATTAGGACAGTGGACAGGAAATGGAAGCTCATATCACAACAAGCAGAAACCTTTCTCATGGGTGTTTTCCAAATGTTCTACAAAAATTATTTATTCTTTGTATGGTCCAAAAATTTGCAAAACAAACCCAAGACTGTTATTGTAAAAGGACATCCCCTCAGCAGCTCTGGGTAGAGCGACATGCCAGGTTCCAGCCCCCTCAGAGGGATCAGGGTATGGCTCTTGGATGGGGTCTCCCACAGTTGGCCAAGCCACCCTTACAAAATGGTCTCACCTCCCTCCCTGACAGAGGAAATGACATCCCCAGTAATAATACCAAAATAATTCAACGCCTACAGCTCCACTCTCAGCAAACACTTCTTGTTCATGAGATCTTTGAATGGCTATGAAGAGGAGAGAAAAAAAGCAGACAATCACCAAGATGCAAAGGGAGAGGATGACTTCAAGTTCTGAGCTGCCTTGACTTTGAACCCCTTCCCTCGCCCATGCAGAGCTGGAGTCTATGCCAGGACGTCAAGGAGTCAGAAGCTGAGTTTTTCTAAAACAGACCATCTCTTCTTCAGTTTCAGAGGATGAGGGCTCAGAAATCAGTGCTCAAGGCTGGAATGGAATTCTAATAGAAAGGCTAATTTATATAAAATTTGAGTTCCATTTATGCTACCCACCGTTGCCATAGAATCTCCTAAAATACATCTCTGACCTGCCCACTCTGCTGCTCACAAGGCCCTCTCCATCTCTCCAGCCCTAGCAAATCCAACCCAGAGTGCCCGCATGACCACAGAGGCCCCCACACTCTGATTCCTACCTTGACTCTCTCTGCTTCAGCAAACTCCTCACTCTTCCTGCATGTGCTCCCTGCCCACTCGCCCTTCCTTATCCTACTCCTCTGGGGGGATCCTTCTGTCTCCACATCTCCGAACCCACCCATTCTTCCAGTCCACTGCCAGTGGCAAGTATCCCATCAGCTCAGCCTGGCCCCTCATCTCAACTTCCTCACCCACTGTCACCTCTTCTCTTTCTGAACATGCACATACATTTGTTGCTGTCAAATACAGGAGTTCAGAGCATCCAACTAGAAGATGTTTTCTGAAGGGTGGGTATGACTTATAATTTTGATTCAGCTTTGATTGCCCTTAACACAGTGTCTTGCACGTAATTCAGGCACAAGGAGTGCTCCCTGGGTGAATGCAAGAATACTAGGAATGTCCTGGCGTGACTCTCCCAGAGTTTGGCTACCTGGCTGAGGGTTTCCCATACGTACGGGGTACCCAACTCCTCAGAGAATCCCTCCTCTTGTAGTGGATCCCTGTTCCGATGGCTCATTAATGCTGCCTATGCCAGCTTCCTGGAGCAAGTGATCATTCCGTCCAGACTAGTTTCAGAAATAAAGAAACAGTGAGTAGAAAACCCTTTTATTGTCCTTCTTTGGTCCTGGCTTTTACGAACAAGGTGAAATACTGTAACAGAAGATTGGAGTAATTTTAGCTGGAAAAAGTTAAAGTAGGTAGTTGAGGGAAGGGGTGAAAAACAAAATAAAAACTAGGAAATGTCCAGGAATGATGAGCAGTCAATGACATTTCTGTGCTGACCCAGGGTGACCTGCTGGCTCGGTCCCTGTACGTCAGGACAGTGATATCCTGCCCAGCTGGTTTCTGGGTCCTACTCTATGGTGATCTTGCTAATTTGGCAGGTGATTTTTTTTTTTTTTAACATAATGGGTATAGATATATAGTGGATATATCACCTACGGTGCTTTGTTCTGATTAAAGAGCACACTTATTACAGAAAATTGGAAAACAGAAAAAATTCAATAGAGAAAATAAAAATACCCCATAATCATACCACTCAGAATTGATCTCCATTAACTCCCAACTTTCAGGGCCTTTGTATCTGAGTCTGGATCAAAAACGGACATTTGTGTTTGGCTTTTGGGTGACATTTGCATTGCACTGCTGACTCTACAACGTTAAAGCTGGAAAGACTAACTAGCTAGACAGCACCTCTAGTCAACCTTCTGTGTTTAGAGAGGAGAAGGAGGCCAGAGAGAGGAAGTGGAAGGGGTGAAGCCAAGCTTTGGTCTCTTTCCCTTCACCTTAAAATCGTATCTTTCCCTCCACTCTTCACCTTCAAAATATCTCTCAGCTTGAACCTAATCATTTCCCTTCCTCTTCCATAGGCCCTCATACGTCTTCTCCATGGCCCATAGAAAAAGCCACAAGGACCACCTCAAAGGCTAATATTTATTGAAGAGGATTATTAATACTAATAATCAATAACTATGAGAGACGTCCCATAGTTAGCCCATTTTTACAGATGAGGACTGAGCTGAGAGAGTTAGCAGCTTGGCTAAGATCTCTTAGATAGGAAGTCCTGAGATCCAGGATATGAATCCAGAGCTTATAATTCCAGAGTCTTGAACCAAACACTGTTCTATCTGGCCGTGACACTAACCAAAAAAAAAACGTTCTAGATCCAACTGATTTGATTTGTGTCTTAAACCATAACATACTTATTTAACAGTATGGAAATCATGAGTGTATAGCTTGATGAACTATCCAAAGGGGACACACCTGGCAACCAGTACCTACAAGCGATAGAACATTGCCGACTCTCCAGGAGCCCCCTCCTGGACCCAACCCCAGTCACTGCTTTTGCTTCCCCAAGAGTAACAAATATTCTCACTTCTTTATTAGTTTTGCTTGTTTTTGAATTTTATTTAAGTGGATTCATACAGAATATACTCTTTTATGTCAGGCTTCTCTCATTATGTTTATGAATTTCAAACATATTTACAAATGTGGCTATAGTTCATTTTTATTTCTCACAGCATACCATTATAAAAACTGTACCCTACTTTGTTTATCCTTTCTATCAGTGATGCACATTTGCATTGTTTCAAGTTTAGAGAATTACCAAATAATGCTGCTCTGAACATTCTTTCACATGGTGAACACATGTAGGCATTTCTATTGGATCTTGACCTAAGAGAGGAATTTGGGCTCATGGAGTGTGTGTAAGTCCGTCTTGAGGAGATACTTCCGGAGAGCTTCTGAAAGTGGTGGTAGCAGTTGACACCCACAGCAGGGTATGAAAGCCCAGTGACTCTCCATCCTCACCAACACTTGGTGTTGTTGTTGGTTTTTATTTTAATCATTGTGTATTGGTATCATCTCATGGTTTTAATTTGCATTTGCCTGACAAGTGGCCATGTTGTGCACCTTTTCAAATACTTATTGGCCATTTGGTTGTCTTTTCTGTAAAATTCCTGCTCAAATCCTTTGCTCATTTTTTCTGGTATATTGTCTATTTTTTTAAATAATTTATGGTAGTTACATACCCTATATGAGGCTTTTTCCAGATAAAAAATGGCAAGTGTTTATCCCCATTCTTTTCTTGCCTTCTTATCCTCTTTAAGGTATCTTTTGATGAAGAGAAGTTCTAAATCGTAATAAGGTCCAGTTTATTCATTTTTGTCTCTATGTTTAGCATACCCTGTGACCTATCCAAGAAATCTCCCTGCTCCAAGCCATAAAAATATTCTCCTGTGTTACCTACTAAAGATGTCATCAATTGAAATGGCCACATTTGGATGTAAAATCCACCTGGAATTGACTTTTCTTTATGGCGTGAGGTGTCACAGTCAAGGTGAAGTTGTTCCCCATATGGTATGGACAGCCAGTGCCCCGGGGCCATTTCCTGGAAGACCCTCTTCTCCCCACTGCTCCGCCTCCTCTTCTGTCACCAACAGATGTTCGTGTGTGTGGGTCTCAGGAGCACTCTTGTCTTCCTGCTTCTCCCTGTGGCTGTCCTTGCACTAGGACAGCACGCTGCCCTGAGGACTGTAGCTTTATACCAAGGCTTCATTTCTGGGAGTGGGAGCCCTGCAAGCTTGTTCTCCTTCAAGGTTGTCTTGACTATATGTGGCCTCTCGTATTTCTATGGAAACTTTGAAATTGGATAGGCAGTGTCCACAAGTGTCTGCTGACATGCTTTATTGTGATTGTATGAATCTGTAGCTCAATTAAGGGAGAAGTGACATCTTAACATCACATAGCAAAAGAAACAAACAAAAACACCAAAAAAAAAAAAAACTGAACCAAACCAAAGCATCATAATAAAAAACGAAGAAATAATAAATCGGGAAGACATATTGCCAATTCATGTCAGGAAGGGGCTCATATCCCCAATATATAAAAGATTCCTAGAAATTGCTAAGAAAAAGAACAGACACACAGTAGAAAAACTGGCAAAAGACATGAAACCACACTTTGCAGTAAAAGAGATATACATAGCCCCAAATATATGAAAATATGCTTAAGCTTAGTCATAGTATGATCAAATTGTCAAATCTGAAATGTGACAAAGCTAGGGGAGAAATGGGGAAGGGGTTCCCGCCTCCCTAGGCTCTTCAGTCCCACCAGGTCCAGCACCCTGAGGACGTACCTGACTGCAATGTGTGGGCTTGTGGGTCTTCAGAGGCTGTGGGGAGCTCAGAGGCTGTAGATAAGGCATCGTAAAGAACTCACCTCATAAGCAGAGCAGCTGGTGCAGTGCACATTCCAGAGGCCAAGCAGGGCTCAGGTGCAATCATTGTCCTGGGTCGTGCACACGGCCACATGTGAGCGCTGGGCCCTCGGCAGGAGACCCGGCCAATCCTGCTCCATGTCCACCACCATCTGCCCATGTTAGGAGGCCTGTGCACTTCTGCCCACCTGAGCCTACCCTCTCTGACACCCCATCCAGGGTTGACAGAGCCTGAAAACATGTCCTCATAGGCATAAGCTTAGGAAGTTCTGCCTTCAAGCCCTCTTGAGAATCTGAGGCCAATAAAGATGCAGAGAGTAACCCAGACCACAGGAGGGAGTTGGAATCTAGAAGATCAGGCAGGGCTCTGGCTTCCTTGGGCAAGGCTCAACCCCTTCCCTTCGGGTTTTCTTTGGAAATGAGAAACCTTAAGGTCCTAGGGGAGCCCTGCCTACCCCTCTCCATTTGGGGCCATCTTCCTGTTGCATCCTCTCATGCACAGGCACTCTCACACCGATTTCTCCTGTGTGGACCACACAGGGACCCCAGGAAAGAGCAGACACCAGGGAAGTGACAAGAGCCAGCGGAGAAAGCAGTCGGAGGCAGCTGTGCCATAGGCAGTAGCATCCATCCTCCTGGCTACATGCCCAGAAGGCCTGAGACGGACCGAAGAATCCCTGAGGTTTCTAGGTGTGTACCTGTTCCAAGGGCATCCCTGACCCAGCCTGGAGGGCACAGGACTGGAGAGCTGGAGTCCACTTCTGTGGGCAGCTGCTACTCTGAGGAGCCGTTCTCCTCTTGTGTAGACATTGGGTAGAGGAGAGAAGACCTTGGTGTCCTCCTGTGTAAAGTGGAGTGTGTCCAGTGGGTGACTCCCTGGGTTCCGTATGATGCTCACGAAGTGTCTGTGGCCCTTGGTTCTCCATCGATGACGCCCTGTGCTCTGAGCACCTGAGAAAATGCTTTCCCACAACCTAGAGATCCTAAGGAACTGAGACAGGCTTGGGGGCTTGGGAGGATGAGAACCTGGGATAAGGAAGAACATGCCAGAGCACTGTACACTGAGTCCAGAGTCCAGGGACAAGGCCAGTCCTTGTTGGACTCCCGGGTCCTCACTTGGCAGGAGAGGGGAATCATTGCTTGGCTGAGGTTAGGATGCCTCCTGAGAAAAGAGGACACCCAAGTGGAGGGACAGAAAGATGAGGGAGAGGGAGGCTCCTGAGGTTCCTCCCATGGCCTGGAAGCCTGCAGGTCCTGCTCCTTTACCCCTGGGACAGTGGGGAGCCTCTGCCTTGAGGACACCCAAAGAGACTTCCTGTTTGGTGGCTTCTGCCAGGGCTGCAGTGCTGGTGCTGGCCACCAGGGGGCAGGCAGCCTCCAGCGTCAGTGGTGCCCAATGAGGTTGGGTTTTCACTGTTGTCACTTCTATTGGGATGTAATTGCCACACAGCACTGCCTAAGTTAACACTGCTGTGTGGTACATTTCAAAATTGCTAAGAACCAAGAAGCTAAACTTCTCATCACAAGCAAACACTTACTTTTCTGTTTTCGGTGATGGATGTTAAGTGAACTGGTGGTGTCATTGCACAGGCTGTGTGCATCCAGTCCCTGTGCTGACTTCTTAAACTTACACGGTGCCCACTCAGCCTGCCTCAGCTGCTGGAGCAGCGAATAGCCGTGCAGAGGCCTTTCCGGCTGTGCCCCGCCTCAGAGAGAACTCACTCCTCCTGGTACTAGCGGTCCTCCCCGCAGTCTGACTTGGTGAAGAGCAGGAGGAGGGGACACGAGTTTCACAATTCTTCACTCAGCGACTGTGCACCGAGCACTCACCCTGTGCCAGGTGCTCAGGTGGGTGTAAGTGCAGGGCTGACAGTGACTGAGTGGTCCCTGCCGGTCAGGAGCTCACACTCTGGAGGGGACAAGGACAAAAGCATGAAAGCAAAGACACGAGAGGGGAAAGAGCCAGTGCTGAGGGGACATTCAGGGCCCTGTGAGGGAGGGCCGGGGGTCACCGGGTAGGGGTCTGAAAGGCCTCACTGGGACGACATTTCCTGGGACCAGAATGACAAGAGGGAGCCAGCCCTGCACAAGTCTGGGAGCGGCGTGTCAGGGAGAAGGCACCCCTGCTGTAGACACTCATGGGCAGAAGAGGGTTTGGCCAGAGGATGTGAGAAAGATGGCCAGTGTGGCTGGAGGGAGCCTGGGGGGAGAGAGGAAGCGGCGGAGGGCAGGGCCAGATCCTGGGGCCTGAAATCACGGTTCCAGTGCCTTGCATCTGTAAACGGCAAATGCCTCATATCTCACAATTTTTGTGGTTGAGGAATCAGACATAGATTAGCTTGGTTCTTCTGCTCGAGATGCCTCAAGGCCGCGGCCGCGGCCTCAAGTGATGCTCGACTGGCAGAGGATTTCCTCTCAGGTTCACTCAAAGGAGTCGAGGTGCACTTTGGACTCAGAGCATGGGTTCCTTTCTGTCTGTTGGCCTGGGCGCTGCCTCGGTTCTCTCCCATGTGGGCCTCTGTGTATGGCAGCTCAAAACGTGTGTGCTTGATTCCACAGCTCAGGGACAGGAGAGAGAGAGAGACACGGGAAAGAGAGAGAGACGGAACTTAAGAGAGGGAATAAGAAAGAAGTGAGAGACTTTCTGTGTTTAAAATTTAGACATGACACTCGTCCACATTGGCTGTGTTCTATTGGCGAGAGCCAGTCACTAAGCACTCAGTGGTCACACAGGAATCTGTGAGGGATGTGTGTACCACGGGTGGGGATCTCTGGGAGCCACGGTGAAGGCTGCCCACCTCACAGATCAAGATGAGGCTCTTGGGTCTCTTTCTAAACAGAAGAGGAAACAATGGAGAGGTTTGAATCCAGAGGATGACAGTGTCTGGATTTCATTCATCAACCCTCTCCTTGTGCTGACATTGAAATGAGGCCAAGAGAGGAAGTGCCTGTTGCAATAGCGCATTGCTGAACCCAGGCCTGGTTTGAGTGGTGTTCATGCTACATCCCTTCTCGTAATTCTTCCATCTCTTTGTTTGTGCATTACTTGCACTTGACACCACCTCACAGGTGGTATGGATATTATTTCATATACACCTGATGATGTCCCTAGCAAGTAGATTCTAGGCGGATTCCCCTTGGGAAGGTTTGGAGACTGGGGAGGCCCTGAGAGGCACAATGAGTTTTCCAGGACAGAGAACTGGTAAGATAAAGGAGGTCTGAATTCTGCTCTGCCTCCTCAAAGCTGGGACCCTCATCACATTCCCAGGGAGCTGTGGCTGGGGCTGTGGAAGCTCCTCATGTAGAGTTAAGAAGAAGACATGGGGGTGGTTTGGGTAGGTCCGATTACAGGAAGCAGCCCAGGTAATGGAATCTTGAAAAAGTGACCTCACTTCCTTGGCGATAGACCCCAACAGATTTAGAACTCTGGTAACCAGGCAGTTAATTCTAGAGACAGACCCCTAGCCAGTTCATCTGACTGGAGACACTTCGGAGTAAAACATGTTTACTTGTTGTGTACCAGTTTTCAGAGGCTCTAGGCTCAGGAAAGCCCAGAGTGTGAGACTGTTGTGTTGTTGTGGACATCGGATCAAGCCTCATGGCCAATTTGGCAGGAGGTACCCAAAGGTAATGTGGGGCAGCCCAGGGCAGCCCACTGTAGGGCAGGACACAACTCGGATCCCACCTGAGCAGCCCCATAGCCCTTGCACCTTGTGTGAGGGTTTGTGTGTGAGTGTCGGTGTGTGTGTGTACGCGTGGGCGCTGTGCGGGAAGGCAGCAGGTGAGGAGTGGGTCCCTCCTGGGCAGGAGGAGAGTGTTATGTGCTGTCAGCCAGGTGAGTCTGTCATATTCATACCCCGGGGCTTGGCTGGCAGCCTGAGCAGCTGGGTGCTGGGATCAAGCTCCTCTGCCCTTGTGTTAATCCTGAGCCATAGAAGTTTCATCTAGTTCCCTCCCTGGTCAGATGTCTGTGCAGACGTCCCTCTGTGCCTGAATTAGGGAACAGAATTCCTCATGGGGGTGTCCCCCTGTGGCGATGTGCAGGCAGGCCCCTGATGCCTCCTGGCCCATCTGCCGGGCACTGTCTTTCCAGAACTCCACGCAGGAGATCTTTGAAGAGCTACATGATGGGTTCGACTTCTCTCCCTCCCTAGTCAAGGGGCAGGAGCAGCAGGCCGCCAGCAGCATCCTGTGCCGGTCTGAGGTGAGAGCAGGAGCAGAGGGTCTCCCCGCCCACCACCCCAAGATGTTCAGGTTGGGCCTGGAACCCAGGTCCGAATCTGAGCACACCCCTGGTGCCCTCACAGGGCTTTCCCAATGAGTGTCCTACGGCCTTACTCCCAAAGGAGTCTGGGCCTCGTCTCCTCCCCAGCCAGCTGAGGGCTCGGGTGGAAAGACACTCTCCACATGTTTCTTGGAATCGTAGAGGAAAGGTTTACTGTTGTTGTCACTTCTCACGAGGCCATGAGGACCTTAGCATTTTGCTCCTGTTTTGATTGATGTAACTTCCGGCTGGGAAGCTGTAGCACTCAGCGCCACTGTGCTTGCAGACCTGCTCCAAGCCTCACAAATCATCACACTTGCTAGGCTGATTACACACAAAGAGCATGGGCGTGGATTACAGGATTCTATACATTTCTCTGCACCTTGTCATCTCACAAAACACTTCGAATCATAGCAGTTTGTTACGTGCTGTAAAACTGGTGAGTCTGTGATATTCATACCCCAGGCTGGCAACCTGAGCAGGTGGGTGCTGGGGATCAAGCTCCTCTGCCCTTGTGTTAATCCCGAGCCTTAGAAGTTTCATCTAGTTCCCTCCCTGGTCAGATGTCTGTGCAGATGTCCATCTGTGCCTGAACTAGGGAACAGAAATTCTCATGGGGGTGTCCCCCTATGGCGATGTCCAGCAGGCTCCTGATGCCTCCTGGCCCATCTGCCGGGCATTGTCTTTCCAGAACTCCACTCAGGAGATGTTTGAAGAGTTATGTGTTGGGTTCGACTTCTCTCCCTCCCTAGTCAAGGGGCAGGAGCAGCAGGCCACCAGCAGCATCCTGTGCCGGTCTGAGGTGAGAGCAGGAGCAGAAGGTCTTTACCCCCAACCCCCCAAGATGTTCAGCGTGGGCCTGGAACCCAGGTCTGAATCTGAGCACACCCCTGGGGCCCTCACAGGGCTTTCCCAACGGAGTGTCCTACGGCCTTGCTCCTGAAGGAGTCTGGGCCTCCTCTCCTCCCAAGCCAGCTGTGGGGTAGGGTGGAAAGACACTTTTCACATGTTTCTTGGAATCATAGAGGAAATGTTTAATGTTGTTATCACTTTTCACGAGGCCATGAGGACCTGAGCATTTTGCTCCTGTTTTGACTGATGTAACTACCCGGCTGTGAAGCTGTGTAGCACTCAGGCCGCTGTCCTTGCAGACCTGCTCCAAGCCTCACGAATCATCACACTTGCTGGGCTGATTTACACATAAAGAGGATGGCGGTGGGATTACAGGATCCTATACATTTCTCTGCTACTTGTCATTGCACAGAACACGGCAACTCATTGTAGGCCGCTCAGGTCAGGAGCTGAGGCCTTAAGTGACTTCATCATATTCCACAGAGGAGGACATTTTGCACAGTGATTCAGCCTTTCGATGCTGTTGGACCTTGACATGACCCAATTCTGTTGCCATTTGAGCCAACACTGCAGGGCACATTTTAAGCGTGTCCGAATAGACTCTAAGTTTTCCAGGTCTGCCATGACATAGAACCGCAGATTGGCGGAAGGTCACTCATCATCTCTTTGCTCCTGTCTGTGGTGGGGATGTTCATTGATGACTCCCTGGGATAATGCTCTTACCTCAGGCTCTTAATGCACAGAGGTACAATTGTTCCTCAGGTCACAGAATGCCTTGAAGGTACTGAGTGTTTGTCATTCCCCTAAAAATCAAATTGTACTTTTAAGTCCAAAACCATTTTCAAGGCGGGCTCTCGTCCCTCTTGCACAACTTCCTGAGGTGCTGGGAGGTTCTGGCCTGAGCTCCAGACCCTGATGCCCCTGGTGGTTCATGGTGACTCCACTGACTCTGTGTCCCTCCTTGTCCACGTGGTATGCCAAGGAACCCACCCTGTCCGTGGCTGAGGCCCGCACGATGCTGACCCTCAAGGCAGGCGCAGTGCAGAAGGTGGTAGGATGCCTGCAACCATCTTTCCATGGCAGATCCATCTCCGTCACCACCTTCCCGTGTGTGTACCAGGCCTTCTACCCGACCCCACAGGTCCTGGACCAGCTGCTCCAGAGGTGAGTGCCCACCCCTCCACAGCACAGCAGGGAGTCTCCTACCTAATAAACGTGTGCCTTGGGAACGTCCCCACACCTCTCTGAGCGTCACCTTGCTCATCCAAATAGTGGGGTGGTAAGAGGATGAACCTCACAGGGTCACTGAAGGAAATCATGGGAGAAAGCACGGCAGACGCTTGCCTGGTGCCGGACTCCACAGAAGGGGCTGCTGCTCATGCTGCGTGTCCTCACGCTTACGGCTTCCGTCCCCAGTGAGGAGACTCCCTGCCTCTCCCCTCGCTGGCCTGTGGCCTTCCTGAGTGTGGAAAAGTACATGAAAGCAAACTGTTTTCCTATTGGCAAGACAATTTAGCGAGTCCATCTAGCTGATCCTGGTCCTTGACTTCGGTGCGGCCAGAGCAGTGGTCTCTGTGGGCAGCAGAGGAGGCGCAGGCCCACTCAGAATTCTGGGAAGGCTCTGGATGGCGTTCATTCATTCAATACTATATGTTAAGCTCCTACTACATTCATACCCTTTCCTACACACTAAGGATGTCCAATGAAGGAAGCAGACACTATCCCTGGGGCTCAATTCTAGCCTGAGAGCTAGAAGCTCACTTCTGGGCATCATGAGTATTGATGCCCAGAGGACGTTAGATGTCACATCCTCTTGGCCTCCTCTAGATATGGACGCATCCTCTCATAGTCAGACCACGATGACAGACTTCAAGGACCAACTAAGACCATGAGTGGTGTTGGGTCCAGAGGGAGGGCCTCCTGTGTCCACAGAAGGGGCTAGGAGACCATGGGGACTGTGGCTATGGATGGACTGGCAGACCCTGGATCTCACACCTCTTGGGGTTTCTGTGGGAGGCCTGAGGTCTGCGGTCTTCCCTACAGGAGGAAATGAATCAAAGAGACCTGTTCACGGGGTGCCAGTCCCGCCATGGGAAGCAGAGGAGAGGCTGGGCTGAGTCGGCCACTGAGAGACTCCTCGCTTCCACAGTTCCCTCTCCCTCTCCCTGCCCTCTGCACATGCACCTCTCCTAAGCACCGCCACTGGGGCCCAGAACAGTAGGTGGTGAGCAGCCTGGTCACAAATCTGCCTCCAACCTCAGTCCTGATGCTCGAGCGTGGAGGATGGGGCAGGCTATGTCCAGGCCCTTTGGGAAAAGAGTGTCAGGTGGAAGACCAGACTCACACAGGCTCTCTGTTAGATTGGCTGATGACCAGGCCTTCCAGTGCAAGGACAGCCACCCAGGGATTGGAGTGGCTGGTCCACCCTCTGGGGCTCAGGCACAGAGAAGGTGCTGTGGGAACACAGTGTGGAACAGCAGGCCAGGCCTGTGACTCTCTTCACACATGCCTCTCCCCAGTGCCCTCTCTCCCATCTGGGGCCCCCGGCCTCAGGAGAACTCCCAGGATATGTGGCAGATGCTGCGGCACTCCAGGATCAACCTGACGTTGGCGTATCTCCAGGACCTCTTGGCCTGGCTCAGTCCTGAAGCACCAGGCCACCCCTCTTCTCCTCCAGGTGGACCTTTTCCAGGCCACTGAGTTGGAGACAGAGGGTAAGGGAGACCGTAGGCTTGGAAGACTACCCCAGTGGGTGGGTCACGACTGGGGATTCATTTAAAGACAGTGGGATCTTTCCTGTTTGGGGAAAGGCACATGGAAAGCAACTTATGTAGCTGACCCTTTCTCTTTCTCCAGCTCCTGCCCCAGCTCTAGCACTTCTGCCAGGTGCAGAGGCAGAAAAGGGGTCACATCTGGAGCTGGACGGAACTCCAGTTCTATTTCTGCCATCACTTCTAGCGCTGGAGCCGCCAGCAGCGCCCTCAGCTGCTCCAGACCCCGAGCGAGTGCCATCAGCAGCCCCAGCCCAAGTGCCAGGTC